CCAGGAGAGTTGTACGATCATGACCACAATCCATTTTAGAATGTTTACGTCTTCGTTGTACCCCTTGTTATTAGCTCCCCATTTCTCCCCAGCCTCCCCTGCCATAACCCCAAGAAACCATTAGTTCAGTGACTGTCTCTTCTGAGTCACCTATTCTGGAGTTCATATCCCCCAAAACAGACAAAAACAAAGAAATCAAAAAGCTAACAATGAAAAAAAAATTTTTTTTAATTAAAAAAAAAGCTAACAATGATAACAAAATAAAATGGAGGAAAACCTCAGTTGAAAAGAAAGCAGAAAATATTAAAAAGTAGGACAACTCTAAAGTGCGTCAAAAAGAGAGATTAAAAATATTTAAAATTTAATTTTTAAAAAGGAGTTCAAATGATAATTAAATTTTAACCCAATGACAGCTGCCAGAATCCACTTCCCTGTGCACTCTGCAGGTTAGCAAGGCTGTTCACAGCACTGACACAATGGATAAACGGATTGTTCTAAGAGCTGTAAGAGCCCACCCCTAAAATGAGTTATTAAAAATAAAAAAGTAAACAAAATGTTACGTTTTAGCCTGACTATCTACCGTGAGCAACTTTATAATGCTGTCTGATAACAGGCTCTCCACATCCCTTGACGATGGTCAGAGGGCATTCACCGGAGGCTTAGTCCATGTGTGGACCCTGCAGATGGATTTAGGGTTTCTGCTGTCCTCCATAGCAGCCTGCAAACCAGGTGGTCCCAATGGAAGCCCGGATCCTAGTGCCTCCTTTGGCTTTGGATTATGTACAGCCACCCACTCGTATTCCTCCCTAGCCGGGCGAGTCAAGCCTAACACTCAAGATAAACTTTGCTCTTTCCCTGCCCCTAAGAGTGGCCCAGGTAGGTATAAGCTGGTTCAAGTAATGGGGGCAGGCTCCCATGTGGGCTTCCCCCAGGAGTGCCCCTGAACTTTCCTCTCCCCAGGACAGCTGGAAAGTGGACGTCATGTGTCCCTTGGGTGCTCGTCAGAGCGCAGGTTGATGGCCATGAAGCTCTGGCTCAGCTGGCCCCTCCCCTGACTTTACTGCCTCCCCACCCAGCCCCCCTGGGTTAGGGGGGACCTATGTGTTGCTCAACGGCTCTGACTGGAGGGGGGAAGTTGGTTGGCATCTACTCTAGCCTTCAAATGGACATCCATTGACTCTGTATGTGCCTGGGACAACGCCAGAATCCAGCAGGGCGTGATCAGAGACAGCCATGGGTTGGGGCCTCGGGGCCAGCTCCCCCAGTCTCCAGAGCTGTGGGAGGGAAAAGGTGGGCGTTCCCACGAGGGCCTCCTGAAAATGGAGCTCCTGTTTTCCCAGAGTCCCATGAGTTGGGGAGGGAGGGGGTTGGGGGCACGCCTCAGGCTATGTTAGGGTTTAGGGCAGCACCTATACTGCCAGATCCTGGGCCTGACCCCACCTTCCATCCTTGCAGGACCCTGCTCCCTTACCTCCGGAGAGGCTGCGGGAGGTACGAAGGCGAACAAACAGTCCTGTGGGTCCCTCCGTTGACCCTGAGAACTCAAAGATCACTGGCTTTGTGGAAAAGGTTTGGGCCTTGCTGAACAGACTGTTCCAGATCGTGCTTCAGAAATTGGAGAAGGAGTTTTACAATGAAATAGAAAAGGAGAGTGTTTTTTCCTGGATCAAGAAAATGTTTGCGTTTATATTTTACTGACAACCCTGCAGTAGCGAGCCTAGGTCACTCAGGAGTCTGTGGCCACCATTGAAGACATGCTGACTCCCACCTCACTGGCCTTGGTAACCTGCCAACCCTAGCTGACCACCCTTGACGCCCTGCTTAGTCCCATCCCCATGAGCTGGCATCTCACTGCCCGCTGACGAAGCACCCTGTCTGCCTGACTGTCTTTCTCAGGCTCACTGGCCGCTCTGGTGCAAGGTCTAGGTCACAGCATATGTTAATAAAAGTAGAATAGCAGGCATGAGTAGCTACTGGAGCCTTCTGCGATAAGTCGTAGTTTAAAAATCCTCACAACTGGACCAATAGGAAACATTATAATAAACAAAGGAAAGATAGAAGTTGTCAAGGATTTGGTTTTGTTTGGATCCACAGTCCACGTCCAGGACACAGCAGGCCGGAAATCAAAGGAGCCTGCCATTTGCCTGCCCAGCTTGGGGTCATCAGCACTTGGGATGACATGCATGCATCAGAAGCCTGACGCAGGACCCTCAGACTCGGACCTTGCCCACCTCTACAACAAACTGCTTGAGACAGTTCCTTTAGCTAAACTTCTCTGTAGAAACACACATTAAAGAAGGGTTCCAAATTCAAACTGTGGCCTTGAGTTCATCTTTGAATCTTAAATCCAAACAGCCCCTTGGTGCCTCCTCTCCCCTCCACCATCATGTGAGGGTGGCTGCCTTCCATCATGGTGTCTTCCCAGAAGACTTACAGTAGAACCAAGAGGTTTCTGGGCAAGAAACAATAGCATGATTGTCTCCTTAGCCGATGTGTTCAAATGAGAACAGGTAATAAAATGTGGTACAAATCCAAGAGGAGACATTGAAGAAGAACCAAGCTGGATGTATGACATTCTAGTGATGGCTCTGACCACACATGCTGTCCAAGAGCCCAGTGCTTCCAGTGTCTAAGAGGGTCCCAGCAGGGGAGCCCATGAGGGATTTATGGGAACCTTCCTCTTCCTGGGGTCCATTTGAATCCTGAGGTGTAGCTGTCCCAGGGGGACCACAGGTGGTCAGGAATCAGCTGGATGAGGAGTGGACCAGGACAAGGGTGGCGGCCTCTCGGCCACCACCACAAAGAGAAATGGCCACCCCTGCCTGCGCAGTTCCCCAGGACGACTTGAATGGGAGCTCACTGGGCCTCCTGGAAGCTCAGATTCAGAGCACCAGTCCTGTGTGTCTGAAGGTCAGGTCCAGCTCTCTCTCCCACTGCTTCACCAGCTCCTCCACCTGCCCCTGGTTTGTGGAGTGGCCGTGCCTTGCTCTGCTGCTCTGACAGGGAGAGCTTGGGAGGTGGGGAGCTGGACCGGCACCTGTTCTAGCCCTCAACTAGACAGCCACGAAATTCGGTGCCACGCCAGAATCCAGCACGAAGTGGTCAGATACAGGCCATGGGAGTGGGACCTTGGGGACAGCTCCCTCCTAGCTGGAGGAGGGAAATGACGAGGGGCTCCTACAAATGAGTCTTGTCTTTTCCCAGAGTTCCATGAGTCTGGGGGAGGCCTCAGCCTGAGTCAGGGTCTGGGGTAGGACCTACACAGCCCAGACCCTATCCCTGACCCCGCTTCTCACCTGCAATGCAGCACCAGCTCCCACTGCCCATTCCTGAAATGCAACAGGTTGACTTCAGAGTCAAAAGGCTGGTCCCTGCCACTCTGAGGACTCGGGAAACCTGCCACTGGGGTGGTGGTGGTGGCTTTTCAACAGTGAAGACCTGGCAATAACGTCAAGCCTTCTTGGAGCAGGGGTATATAGCAATGTGAGGGCTTTCTGCAGCTGCTTGTCTGAGCGGATAAAGCACCTGGTCGGGGCCTAAGGCAGCCAGAGGCCTGTGGCCAGTTCAAAGCATTGATTTCCACCACACTGGCCTTTGTCCCCTGCCAACCCTGACCAAACACCCTTTGCAACCTGGCTCAGTCTCTTCCCATGCCACCTTGCCACCAGCCAGCCTAGCTCCCCTGCTCCCTGGCTGTCCTTCTGACCTGCCTGGTCACTCTGGTGGTGTTCCACTCAAGGCCTGGTTGAATAACTGTTGGATGAAGGAAACAGAGGGTCCCTGGAATGTTCTGTGATGGATGGGGAGGACTGCAGCAGGACCGTGGATCTAAATCATTAGATGAGGCCAAAGGTCTGGGGTCTGTGTACTGCGTGAATGGCCCCCATCAGCCCCCTCTTGCTCACAAGCCACGTGCTTGTTGGTTTGAGGTGATCATCAGGAACATCTGGCCCGTGTGGCGTTGAGAAAATGGCCCTCCTCTGCCATCTGCAGAGCATCTATTAGACACTGTTCTCTCGTGGTCTGTGTACACTTCCCTTTCTGGTCGGGCACGAGCGGAGCGAGGGTCACAGGTGCCCACATTCCTGTTGACACTGCGCAGACCACATCACTGCAAAAATGGCCACTGTCCTGGAAACCCGAAGGCCTTTCTGTAAGAAGTGAGGCAAGGCTCAGCCTCACCCGGTGACCCAGGAGAAGCAGGGCAGGGACACCCTGTCTTCGAGAGGAAAGAGTCACTATGATTGGAAGCAGAGTAGCTATGCTGGGCAGACGAAGCCAATCTTCTGGAAGAAGCTAAAACCACACAGAAGACTGTGCCGAGGCTTGAATGTGTGGAGCCTAACTGAGGCCCAGCGGGATGCTGGCCATTGAGAGATGCCAGCATTGTGAACAGGGAGGTGATCAGAAGGGAAAGGGCCAAGTGATCCAATTCTATGCCTGGTTTTATCTTTTTAATTTGTAAAAATGTTGAATCTCCATAGAAAAACTACCTTAATCCAGACACTGCTGACACCCGTCCACCATGGCTGACCCTGCTGTTGTTTGAAATCCCAGAGCAGAGCTTCCAGCACCCCAGCCATTTGTAAAGCATCACAGTGGGGCAGAGAGGTGGTGGCTGCACACAGTAAGTACTCAATAAATGCACACTATAGGGCCGGGCCCTATCTAGCCTCCCCGGACCCGAGTGCCTTTCCACAGACAAAACGTCCCTTAAGTACGGCGTCATACCACCCACTGAGGAAAGGGCTGCGGGCCGGCCAAGGGCGGCATTGTTTCACAGTGCAGAGATAAGGGCCTTCGGGGACATTCAGAAACAAATAAAGCGCACGTGCGTATTTGCCAGAAGGTCATTTACTTGGGGCGTTGGAAACTACACTCCTGAGGCAGGGGGGTGCTTGGGTATGTGAGTGGCAGGGTTGGATGAGCTGAACGGAGGGCTTTGGGCCGGGCCGCGCAGCAGAGAGATGGCCTGGGAGTTGTGGGGAGTGGGGGCGATGCTAGTACAGGATCTCGCGGGCGTGGGTGCGCAGGTGCCGCTGCAGGTGGGAGTTGCGGCTGAAGCTGCGGCTGCAGGTCGGGCAACAGAAGGGCCGGGCGGCACTGTGCACCAGCATGTGGCGGAGCAGGTTGCAGCTGCGGCTGAAGCTCTTGCCACACTCCAGGCACTCCTGTGGGGCGTCGGCCTGCGCCGGCGCCGCCGCCTCCTCCGCCCCGGCCCCCGCGTGCGTGGCCAGGTGCCGCTGCAGGTGGGCATTGCGGCGGAAGCTGCGGCCGCACGTCGGACAGCTGTAGGGCCGCTCGCCCGTGTGGCTGCGGCGATGGCGGTTCAGGTTGGAGCTGTTGCGGAAGCGGTAGCCGCAGGTGTCGCAGGTGTGGGGCTTCTCCCCCGTGTGGATGCGTTGGTGGCGGGCCAGGTGCGCACTCTGGCTGAAGCGCTCGCCGCACTCGCCGCAGCAGCAGGGCTTCTCGCCGGTGTGGCTGCGGCGGTGGCGCGCTAGGTCCTGCGTCTGGCTGAAGTGCTTGCCGCACTGGGCGCAGCTGTGGGGCCGCTGGCCGCCGTGCGTCAGCAGGTGGCGCGCCAGGCCCGCGCGGCGCACGAAGCGCTTGCCGCAATGCGAGCACGCGTAGGGCTTCTCGCCAGTGTGCACGCGCAGGTGGCTGGCCAGCTGCGAGCTCTGGCTGAAGCCACGGCTGCAGGTGGGGCAGGAGAAGGGCCGCTCGCCGGTGTGCACGCGGCGGTGGGCCACCAGGTGCTCGGCGCGCTGGAAGGCCTTGCTGCAGACATCGCAGACGTGGGGCCGCGGCTCGGGCGCCGCACGCAGGCTGCTGGCGCACTCGGCGCACTGGTGGCTCTGGTCCCGGGCGTGGATGCGCAGGTGGCGCTTGAGGCTGGAGCGGCGCTGGAAGGTCTGGCCACAGTGCGAGCACAGGGCCACGCTCGGCTCCCGCGCAGCAGGCTTGGGCTCCGCCGGGGCGTCCGAGGGCGGTGGCCTCGGGTCCCCAGCCGCGGGCGGGTCTCGGTCCTGGGCGTGCGCCTGCAGGTGCTTCAGGAGGCTGGCGCGCTGCTGGAAGCCCTGGCCGCACTCGGCGCACAGGAAGGCGGGCTCTGAGTGCGTCTGCAGGTGCTTGCTCAGGTGCGAGCTCTGGCGGAAGCGGTGGCCGCACAGGTGGCAGGCGTGCGGCCGCTCGTCCGTGTGCGTGCGCATGTGCAGCTTCAGGATGGAGCTGCGGCCGAAGGTCTTGCCGCAGCAGTCGCACGGGAAGGCGCGGCCCTTGGTGTGCGAGCGCTGCCAGTGCGCCTCCAGGAGCGAGTGCCGGTGGAAGCTGGCCCCGCACAGCGTGCAGATGACCTGCACTGCCCGCTCACCGTCCCTGGCCGCCTCATCTCCGCCAGGCGGGCTCTCGGCATCGCCCGTGCCGTCCATCCCCGGGCTCAAGTTGACCTTCTGGGCGCAGTGACCGTTGGCCGCCCGGGGACTGTTGGCTTGGGACTCTCCCGAGGTGGCAGGCCCCCTGGCCACTCTTGGGCGCTTTCCCAGTTTGAACTCCTCGGTCTCTGGAACTCTGCTCCCTACTCCTGGGAGGCGAGACACATACAAAACAAGGAACGTTGGATTGCTCAAAGGGGCTCCCTGGCCTAAGTGGAAAGGAAGCATTCAAGTGTGTACCACCCACAACTAAACAAACTCACTGCCGTGGAGTCGACGTGGACTCATAGCGACCCCATAGGGAGGAGTGGAATTGCTCCGTGAGTTTCTGAGACGGTAACTCTCTACTCAGTCATCTGTATCCCACAGAGCGACTGGTGGCTTCGAACTGCTAGCCTTATGGACGGAGGCCCAACATGTAACTAATACGGCACCAGGGATCCCCTAATGATATTGGTCACGCTGTACCAACCACCTAGACCCCGGTCCCCCACTGGAAACCTGGCCCCCAGTCACTCCATCGGCAAGTTAAAAAGCTCAAGAGAAATGGTTATTACTTAGACCTGACAACACAAACCTTTAAAAAAATAAAAATAAAACCCACCCACTGCCATGGAGTGCATTTCACCTCACAGTGACACTACTCAGGGTCCAAGAACAGATAACCTCATCTTTCTCCTGAGAGAGCAGCTGGTGGGTTTGAACTGCCGGCCTTGTGGTTAGCAGCCCAATGTCAACCCATTGCACCAATAGGAGTCCTTATATAAACCACAAAAGGCCAAAAACATGGAGGAAAGCCGGAGACCAATCCCAACCCCACCAAGAAGAGCCCTCAGCACCTGGAGCCCAGGAAGCCTCCTTACCTGGTGGATGCTCGAGCCAGGCCTTATTCTCAGGAACATCCTCAAAGGTCAACGATTCCTATAACCAGAGGCAAGCCCTTCAGTGAGGGAGGCCTGGGGCTGGGTGTCTGAGCAGAGCCGGAGGGACCGGAGGACACCCAAGGTGACAGGTAAGGAAGCTAAGACCCACTCAAGCCTCAGAGGCTGAGAAGGCTCCGGAATGTGGGAATGAGCTGGGGGATGGGAATGGGGGCAGGATGGATGACAACACAAGCCCAGCTCACCAATACAGTTGCCAGTTCTTGGTCTTGGGAATTCGGCCACAGCACAGGGCCCCAGGGAGCTGCCAACACGGGAGCAGAAAGAAAGAGCGAGCTGTGAGAAGTCACCTTTGCCCATCAGGTGGCTGCAGGGACAGGGTCCCCATGGTCACAGGCCATGAGAGCTATTTTGGAGCTCCCCCCTGCCACAGGTCTTGCCCTGTCCACCTC